ACCCCCCTCCTGCCCCCACCCTGGCTGCCCCTCACCTGCCGCCGACAGAGAAGTCAGAGATGGCGTAGTAGTACGACTGCAGCACCTTGGGGTCCTTGAAGATGTCATCCCCGAATGTGTTGAGCCGGTTCAAGGAGATGAGCAGGTCGGTGACGGTCACCCACTCCTGCAGGGGACATGGGGAAGGCGCCTTGGTGAGGGGTCTGGGCCACCAGCTCCCCACCCCGACCGGGATGCATCCTGCCCCGTTTCACATGGGGGTGCAGGGCATCACAGGCACTTTTACCCGGGGTAGCTGCATTAGTGCACCCAGTCCTGGGGGACCATGCACCCACCCCGCCTCCCGCCCTCACGGCACCTGCAGTGCGGGGCTCCCGTCGAAATTGTAGGCGCTGGGCCGTCCCTCGAGGGTGGAGAAGGCCACGTTGCCCCCGCTCAGTGGGGAGATGTCACTGAATTCGTCAGTGCAGAAGGCCACTTGCTCATCCTCCCCCGGCCGCAGGTAGTGCCGCTGCCTCTTCCCGTAGGTCTTCTCGCAGGACGCGCTGTAGTACTGGAAGGGCACCCAGGGCCCCTCGGCATGGCTGCGCTTGTAGATGGCGAAACTCTCGGGGCGACTGGTGTGAAACTTCAGCCGTACGTAGGTGATCTCGTAGGCTTTGCCTGGGGACAGACCCGCCACGCTGTCACCCTCTCCCGGTTGCCCAGTGGGCATCACAGCCTGCGCCAGGGCTGAAATTATCCCGGTGCCCTGTCCTGCATGGCTGTCAGCATCCCCCTGCTCCCCCTGTGGGCACCGTCCCTCTCTCCCCACCACAGCTAAAAGAGGAGCGTTCTCACGCAAAGCAGAAATCACTGTCCAGCTGCCCTTAACCAGCTCCACCTTGCTGCAGCCCAAACCCCATCAGCCCCAAACGGGCTCTCGCCCCAGTGCAGCCACCCACCCATTGCACGGGTGCACCAGGCGGGTTGCATGGGTGAGGAGCCGCTGCAAAGCCAGGCTCTAACCGGCAGCCGGGGGGAAGAGTCAGGCCCACGGCACTGAGCAGCATCCTGGGGGCAGCGGTGCCACAGGGATGGGGAGGTGGAAAGGGTCAAGGCTGGTCCCTTCCAAGGGAGCCGCGTGCCAGGATCCGGCATCGCTGCCGTCTTTGCCGGGATGAAGACAAAGAGAGGCCACCAATCCCCCAGGGGCGGCCAGCGCAGCTCTCAAAGCGCTTGAAAGAATTAGCAAAAAGGGCAAAAGAAAACACCAAAGTGAACATCAGAACTGCTTAATTGCCAGAGATGAAGGACCAGCTCAAAGACTGGATTGCTCCATAACAGCACTGCTCCTGACAGCGCTAAACAATTAGCTGCAAGGTTTTGGCTTTATTTGAAAAGATAATGAGTTGGGAATGTTAGAGGGGTTATTCCGGGACTAGGAAAACAAGCCTTTAATTGGGCCCATATGAATACTGTCACATATGTGCTGCGACTTTGCTGCGGGGGAGCAGAGGCAGCCCGGCTACCAGCGCTGGGAAAAGCAGCTGCCTCCCATCAGGGATGCAGCGAGCACCCGGCCGAGCACCCGGGGTGGGACGACAGACCCGCCCGCAGCCCACCCGGAGGTGACGAGGGCCAAGAAGGGGCTGCAACCGGGCTGTCCCACCGCCACCGCGCTCCCCTGTGCCTCTCCCCAAATTCACCTACCTGTGGGACCCCTCCAGGCTGGCAACAGCGGGGTTGCCCCTGCCCTGCACCCCGCAGCAGGGGGGACGCCCGGCAGGCTCCGGTTCCCAGGCAGCACGGTCCCAGGGGGGACGTCTACCAAAACAGCGAGGTCGGGGCCGTCGCCTCCCGGAGCAGTTTCCTCTGGGAGAGGAAGGGAGCTCAGCGCTGTGTCAATAAACAGCTCCTGCCCCAAGTGGCCCTGCGGGAGGGGAGCGGGTGGCTGGGCTGGGGGAGCCCGAGTGGTGCCTCCAGCTGGGATGGAAGAGACTCGCTGCTGTGGGGAATCATCCCGAGGGAGCGCGTGTTTTTCCCAGACAGGCCTTTTAGTGAGCCAAATTCTGCTTAGAAAAAAAAAATCCAGAAAATAACCCGGGCTGGTTGTCTCCCCTTTCCTGCTCGGGAAGGTGTGATGTGTCCCAAAGCTGGGTGTGCCGTGGGATGGGGACACCAGGCGGGTGTGCAGGTGGCTGAGGGTGACGGCACCAGGACCCCTGGGATGCTCTCCCAGCTGTGCTGTCCTCCAAACAAAGTGTTCGCCCGCCTCCCGCAGAGCCCAAACTGCAGCTTATACCGCGCCGGGGGCTCCAGGAGGAGTTTGGAGAGGAGAGAGGAGCGTGCGGGATGATCACATCACCTACGTGTCCACAGCTGCCTCTGTTCCCCCCAAACCTCAGCTCCAGCAGCCTGCTGCAGGCTCACATCCCACGGGAAAAATCAGTCAGAGTCACAGATGCAGATACCGCCTGATGTGGACGCTCTGACGTGAGGCACTGGCATTCAGAGAGCTACCCAAGGAGCTCCGGTGCCTGTTGCCTTTGCAAGCCCGCGGATATTCTGGATTCCTCCCTGATGTCTGACAGGGTAAATGCAATGGCCACGGGCGCTCGGGATTATCGATCCGCTCCGAGTCCGATGCACTGTAACGGCATGGCTGAAACCTCACAGAGAAGAGAGATTTAAAGGAAGATAATCTAATTAACGCCAATCAACAGCATGCAGGTAAACACGGGTCTTGTCCAACTCATTCGATATCTTATTTAATAAGCTCCCCAGGTAAACACGCTGGGGAACCTACAAGACGTCTGACTCGGGGCTGAGCAAGATGAGCAGGCTGGCAGGGATGCGCTACGTGGGTTAAAAAACCCAATTACTCGGTGGAGCTCATGAGCAAGGACTCGTCCTGGGCCATGTCCCGGGGGGCTGCAGGGGCCGGTTGGGCTTTTCCTCCGTAACCCAACTGAAAGCATTAAGGTAGCAATAAAAAGGTCTGCAGCTGGGACAAGAACAGGGCCTGGTGGCTATGAGAAAGGTCAGACGGCAATGTGCTGGGCACCAAAATGGCACTTTTTAGCATGGCAAGAGATAGGAGCCATGCAGGAACAAGGGTATATTTGCAGAGGGATGCTCCGGCTCAGGAAGGGATGCAGGGACTGGGGGTGAGGATGAGCTTGGTGCAACGTTATGGCCTTGGATGTGTTAAAGGGAGACAGACAAAAGCAGGGCAGTCACAGGGGCTGGACAAGACTCCACTGGAAACCTGAGCGCGGGGTCCAGCAGGGTCTGCAAAGGAGCTGGGGAAAAGCCAGGAGTAAGGCAGAAACTGGGAAGAAGGCTCGGGGAGCTTGGGCTGGGGCAAGGGGCTGCTGCACACATCAGCGTGCTGGGAGCCCACACATATCCATGTGCCAAGTCGGGACTGGTGGCCACAAACTCGCCTGGCCGTCCCGGAGGGGGCCACCAGCTTCCCGTGCCAGAGGCTAAAAGGAAGAAAATCCAGGCTGGAAGTCACCTGCCTCAGGCAGGGACCAGCCACCGGGGGAACCGGCAGCAGTTTGTTCAGCCATGCAGGTTGCATTCAGGTTGTCTACGCTCCAGGTCAAACACGAAGGAATTTGGGGCGATCTGACAGCCTGCGTTAGATGGGCGAGGGGCCGGCAGATCCCCTCCCGCGGGGCTGGCAGGAGCGGGAGCAGGGAGTGGGGCTGGCAGGCTCCTCCGGCATCGCTTCTCATGCCCGGCAGGGAGCCCAGGATGAGGACCAGATGTCCGCCCGCTCACAGGAGGCTGGGAAAGCGGTGACCTCCGCCCAGCCGGGCAGCTCCTGCGTCCCCGCCGGGGCACGCACAGACCCTCCACCGTCACATCACCCTGACTCCAGCCGCTGGGTCAGCCACCAGCACAGCTCTATGCCACACCGGCACTCGGCTGTCCCCTTACTGGCTCCAACTGCAGCCCTTCCACATGCAGATCGCAGGAGACAGGAGAGAATGGAGATTTTACAGTGCTGGTCAATAGCCAGGATAGTTTAGATGGCAGGAAAACGTTAAAAATCCTTTTTAAGATGCCAGGCATGCCCATGGGTTTAAGTACTCTCCAAACGGGTGGCTTGCACAATATTTAAAACGTAGAGGGTCGGATCCTAGCTGGGGAAGCCTGCGGGGCTGCACGGTGTGTGTAGAGCTCTGCCCCCCCGAGATGTAATGGGCATCCTCAGCAATGCACAGGGGCGAAAGGGCACGGGCTTGGCACCCACAGTGCTCACCCCAGTGGCAAGGCTCTCGCGGGGGGGTCTGTGCCTCCCCCCCGCCTGCCTCCTGCTCCGCAAACTTGCATAATCAGTAAAAAGCAGCCTTGGGGGAGCGGGAGAGCAGACACCCCAGGCACAGCTGGCTGGGAAGTGGCACAGGCTGCTGCAGCCACCGGCATCCTCACCCCACAAGGGACCGGGGTTCGGCTGGTGGACGGGGCAGGCTCTCCCCAGGTCTTTTCAGTGATCTAGCCGCAGTGCTTCGCAGAGGGCATCTCTCTCCTTGCACCCCCTAAAAGCCCTGGGGAGGGTCCTGTCTTTAACCCAAAAGCAGCACCAAGAAGTGCAGGGTGTGGGAGCATCCATCCCCCCAGCCACGTACCCAGGTCTCGATGCACCCACCGCTGGTTTCCCTCGCCGGCACCGCGGGGGCTCCCGCTGGCACTTACCCAGGTGGAGGGTGATGTTGACGGAGTTGGGGTGCTGGATGCCGAAGGCCATGGACTGGCTCTGCCACCAGGTGCTCTCCTCCTGGCTGTGGAAGTCGGTGAGGAAGGAGGCGTTGTGGTGGTGCCGGGGGTCAGCGGCATCGCAGCGGTGGCACAGGGC